AAAACTGCGTGTTACAGTCACCCTCTCTGAGCCAATCAATACGAGACCGTTGGCGCCACAACATCTCCTCTCTGTACAATAATTCGTCTAGGTGTTCTGACTCTTTCCTGATTTCCTTTCGGTCTGCATTCATGTTCATTAGATCCTCTAACCGGGTTCTAGATTTTTCAATTTCCTTTACTACGTTCCCAAATTTCTTGCGGCTCCAGCCATGAAGTTTACCCATCAACTTATCCAAGGATACTTTGATATCATGTAGGCCATGCTTTGTACCTCCCTCCCGCCAAGCATCTGCCACAACCTCCTCAAGAGCCGCATCACGTTCCCACATTACTTCATAACGCCGTACACACCTCACCCTGCCGCCGGATTCAGGCGTACATCGCACGAGGAGGGGGAGGTGATCTGAACAGGAAGAAATCAAGTGCTTCACCGATGCCTCTGGGAATTTATTTCTCCATGTATTATCAGCCACTGCCCTATCAAGTCTCACTTGCACATTAGCCCGCCCACTGCGTTTATTATCATATGTGAATGGATAGCCAGAGAAGCCGAGGTCAGATAGGTTGCACGCTTCCAACACATCCCGGAAAGCAATCATCTGCCCGGGCGACCTTGGTGTATCCGACAAATGCTCATAGTCCCACATTACCTCATTGAAATCTCCTGCCAAGAGCCATGGTATGTCATCTTGAGCTTTCAATCTTTTCAGCCCCTCCCACAACAGGTGTCTATTTTCTACCCTCGGTTCCCCATACACAAACGTGATTCTCCAGATTTGATCATCAGCGGGTAACCGGACATACACATCAATCCATCCTTTATTGCAATCACGAATATCAACGTACAAAGACTCGTCCCAAAACAAAGCTAATCCACCACTACTACCCTCACTACTAACTCCTTCAAAACCACGCAGACCAACACGATTACAAAGACGATACATCTTATCTTTTTGCTGCCTAGTTTCACATAGAAAGACAAAGCTCGGGGAATGGGCTCGAGTGAGAGCCACGAGATCACGAACTGTCGAGGTGTTCCCCGCACCCCGGCAGTTCCAAACAATGCAATTCATTGCTCCTGACGGGGCGCCACACGTGGCCCCGTCAGTTTACCGGCGGCCCCGGGGCCGGTTGCCTCCATGTCCACCTCACACACCTTGCTAGTTGCTTCATCTTCCCCTTGCTGAGGTTCTGTCTTCCCCTTCTTCTGAACACCGCCAACAGGAGCGTCCACGAACGGCACCAGAGCCTTGCCACCAAAATCAACCTGTACCTGCCCAATTAGACCATCCACCTGCCTCTTCCCCAGAATTGAATCGTTATATTCCATGGAATCCATAACACTACCAAATGAGACATTCAAGGAGTCAAGGCCATACAAAGCAGGTATCATGTCATCCGAGCTGGGTATTTTTTTCTTTGATTACTAGCGGTCCATGTTTCCTCCCTGCTGGCACTTTCTTTCCCATGCCAGCACTCTTCTTTTTCTGGCGTGGCCTAATCTGTTCTCCTCCCTGTTCACCGTTAGCTTGTGCTTCAAACTGCGCCTTCATCTGCTGTACTTTGCTACACTCTGGCTTCTCCTTAGCAAGTTGCAGCCAAATTCTGTCCACCTGGTTTGCTAGCAGCTCATCAGCCTCCACTGTCCCTGGCATCTCCTTCTCCTCAAACCCATCATGAGCATCAACTCTGTCCGGTATTTCACGATCCTGCTTGGAGCTGCTGCTAGCCGTCGGTCGTTCAGCTTGGCGAGTCATTGAACCAGCGCTACCTAGAGAAAAATCCATCACGCGCCTTGCCCTTGGTTGGCCCGGCGAGGCTGTGAACGCCGGTCTCTGCTCATACTTCTTGAACGGGGAGCAACGGAGGGTGGAGTCATATGTCTTTGATTGGAGCCCCAGCCTCTTCTTCTCACATGCCTCTTTGTCATGCCCCATGAACCCACAAAAGAAGCAGAAGTGTGGGACTCTTTCATATTTCAGCTTGAATTGCATGCGCTTGGTTACACCTTTCACCTTATACTCAAGCATGACCTCTTTCTGTAGTCTCCTATTATAGGGCAATTTAACTCGAATCCTTAAGAACTCATTGGTTTCTCGCTAGTTGACAATGTGAAAAAAGATCGAGCTGACAGCTACTTTCCATTACACACGCTCCCTTTGGTAGACTATTTGGATAGCATGAAATGGTACTTTTGTCAGTATCAATTACATAGCTGCATGCGGCACATGACTTATTAACTTTGAATTAGCAAAGTGCTGGACCTAAAATAGACTAATACATGTTCATAGAATTTAAAGAAAAGGCCCTAGTTTTTGTATATATTACTAAATATATGTTATGTTTCATCCAAACTATTTTCTCTTTCATATTAGTGGGTGCGGGATATGGGGCTGCAGAGACTATGGAATTTTCTTCCAATATGAAGCAAAGTGGTTAGGCCTTTTGTCGGATGCCTTATCTCGCAGTGGCAGAGCTACAACAAATTAGTTGGGCCGGCCAATTTTTTTTAATTCTAAACCATACAATTAAGTAGGCATTAATTAGTGAAATTTCAGATTGCTACAACGGTATAGCCTAACACTATACAGGGAAAGTGGTATCAAGATGATGTTGTGAAGTAAAATTTGGAGAAAGAAAGAAAATTCATGGGTGCTGGCTGACTGGTTTTGCGGTCTTGTGCTTGTTGCAGTAGTCGGCTGCCTGGCTACTGGACCTCTCAGACTCCTATGCGGTGTACCGAGTAGTTGTCATAGCTTGGCTCAGCATTGAATCGGGGGCAGAAAGCTCAGAGCTGGATGCGAGGCAATGTTGGGCCCTGGATCTGGATGGATGCGAGGAGAGTGCTGCTAGGTTTGGTCTGCTACTGGGTGGATTGGGTTGTTACATGCACAATTTTTTTTTCTCAAGAGCTGGACGGGCCACGGCCTGGTTTTGCCCTCACTAAGCTCCGCCAGTGTTATCTCGCCTGCATTAGAAGCATGTCAGAGGTCGAAAATGACGAACAATAAACACAACATAATCACCGGCCGCATCTTTTATAGGAGTAGAAACCGAGAAGTATATTCTAGTAGCAATGGCATGCAAGTCATCATGGAAACTGTCGATGAAGGACATCACTTTGCCACAACTAATTTTGTGTAAATCATGGTCCCGCGAAAAAAGTGTGGTAGAAAAAATTGTCCACCATAAGTGTAACAAGACTTGATAAGAAACTTAGCCTATGACACCCGTGGATTATATCGTTTAAAGAAAGTGTGGCAAACTAAATTTGAGACCAAGAGAATTTGCCTTCTCTGAGGACAACATACTTATAATTATAGTCAACGGCTTTATAACGATTTCATGTGCAAATTTTTGTTCTTCTATGCTCTAGCCAATCTGAATTAATCAAACATGTCTGCGGCTAAGGTGTTGTGGCACAGCTAAATTTATGTATAGTGACTTTAGGCTAGAAACCGAACATGAAATTCACAGCAAACGGTAGGTAGGAATAACTTCGCAACTCTATATAATGGCCCTGCTCTATCATTATCACATTTGTCCATGTTGTTGATGGACATTATTACATACGATACCTTCATATATTAATATTTAAACACTATGGTTCCATACCTTTTCATTCCCATACATCTAGACTCACCCAACTTTTCTCCTCAAAGCTTTATCTATAAAGCCTTCTATTGATTACATACAAATATAGAAATACATCTTCCGTTTTTCCTGAATTAATTAGTGTGAAGCCATTGGTGCATGTGATCTAATAATAAAAACGCATTTGCAAGCCAACTCAATTTGCTAGGACAAGAGTTCATTATGAGAAGCTAAATCCCTGCGGGAGCTCTCACCTAAAAAGATATCCTCGAGGCTTCGCGTAACTTATGTAGATACAACGACGTAACTCACTTTTTTTCTCTCTCCATGACTTCACCAATTCTTTTCACGCAAACGACAAGTTACCATTTCGAACAATACCGTGTTTCCCATGGCTGTCTGGCGACCACGCCGATGGTCGTAATGTTGCGCAAATTGTACTTCATCTGCCTAGAAGACTAATGAAATTCATTTCGGAGTAGTTCGTTGATCCCTATCCTCAGTTGACACGTGGAGCGTGCGGCTAACTTTGAGTCGTTCTGTTTCCGACCTTTACTTCGGCCAGACATGAAATCTATGAGCCGTGGTTTAACGGTTTTCAGCCGCCGCGAGACCGACGACTCTCCGCTCAAGTTTGCCGGGTTGGTCCAACGGTTTTTCTCGCAAGAAAACAAAAGCTAGATTGGACGGTTGAACCTTAACCCACGAAAAGTCGAAAACACTTTCCATCCAAGCTCACACTGCGTGTTGCGCCGTGGTTTAACCCGGATTTTTGTGTAGAAACGTGATCAAAAACTTGTGCGGCGTCAGAGAAGAAGAAGGGTGAAGAAACCCTGCCAAGAGGAGCAGCACCGACACCCCCGGCCGCAGGCCGAATTCCTCCACGTTCTCTCCATCCCCAAGCAGAGCACCGCGCCGTCACCCTCACGCCGTATAAACCACCGCCCCACCAACGCCAGACCCCCGTCGCCCTCCCTCGCGTG